TACAATACCTGCATGTTATTTGTCAAACTACTTTGGATGTTTTAGGCAATATAAAAATCCTGGCCAGGACGTGTCCCGTATAAATGGTGATTTTTCTATACCCACTGTATGTTGTGTTGGCTGCAAAGAAGTCTACAATACCTAGATAAACCATTAAATGATTTCTGTTAATCTTAGTACCAGTTGTTTGGGTGGTGCAGGATCCCCCAGAAGAACGCAATTTTAATTCAGCCATATTTGTTCATGGGCACTAAAGGCTGAAATACACTACAAAAAGTTTGCTCCAATTTGCAGTCTGGATGAGTGGATGCTACTGTAGTTGCCGAAAAGTCACTGATTTCACATAAAATCTAAGTGATCCATGGCCCCAGACTCAGATTTTTTAGTTTCAGACAATGATTCCATCCAGTTGAAGGATATCAAACACGTTTGATATTTTAAACCAATTTTTGAACAGTTATGTTTGTCATTTGGTAGTGTCATCTTTGTAAGTTTTTTAGTCTACGATATCCATGTTTTTCTTCTGTAACCATTTACAAAGTCGGCAAGTGAAGGATACCTAGTTGTTTTAAAATCTGTACTGATATAAAAGTTGTGTAGTGTATTTCTGTTTGACGTCAAGACATGTTGACAAAGCTGATTGCACCACAAGAATGTTCAATCGTTAGTCCTTCATTAGCGACTAGCCTTAGCTGTGATGTCAAAGGCAGCAGGGAGCATTTCCATTTCACGCTTTTAAGAGCCATCCAAAAAATATCTGCATCTGCCAGCAGTGACTAACTGGACCAGGCTAACCAGTCAAACCTTGACTTGTTGGTTTCCCCCACAAGGCATCTTAAGTAGTTAAACCAGCAAAACGTTGATGCAGGTTGACTAGCCTCAATAAATGGTGAACATCATGGCTGGCTAAGGTACACCAACTAGACTAGTACCAAACTGGCATTAACTAGCAATGAAATTCATGCTGGGTTTTTAGCAGGGTTGTGTCTAAAACATTTTTCAATTCTTGTGATTGCTGTAAATGCAAAAATGGCACATGTGTTTGGAATCATGAGCTAATTTTGTGGAAGTACATTGGAGCATTGTTACGGTTTATAGCCAGTTGTTACTGCATTGCTGCAGGCTGAATGCCAGTTGCAATACTACACAAACATTTCATTAGCACCTTCTCCGCCCTCTTTCCACCAGGCGAGTCATTACGAACTGGAACAGCTTACCAAAGAGTTGAGGCAGGTAAACCTACAACAGTTCATTCAACAAACGGGCACCAAAGTCACGGTTCTGCCCGTGGAGCCCAGTGATGAGGACTCCAGCAACACAACAGATAATAAAGGTATTGTTTTTTTTTTGCTGACAATATATCTAAAGCCCCATGGTTATGCTCCACACAGTATGGATACTGTTAGGACTCAAAATCAATGAAGACAAGACCTCGACCATAATGAGTAACAAGTCCATTTTACAAGGTCCATTATTGGCCAGACCACATCTGGTTTTAATTTAGTTACTTTTCACTTACACATCTAGCAAAAAACTGCAGGTCCATGTAGGACACAGTCTTTTCCTGTAAAACATATAACGCTGAGGGTAATTCAGAAGCACTGCAGAGTTTTTGTGTACTCCTGCTTCGTCAGTGCCATGAAAGATTATAGTTGCAACAATTGACTCAGTGGTCTCGCCTCTCATGCACTCTGTCGAGTACAGAAATCTGTTATTTCTTTCTGACTTGGGAGCCTGGATGAAAAATAACATTGCAGTTGCTGAGTTCATAGTGTTTCCTATTGTTAATATTACTAATCCAAAGTGCCACCTTGTGGTTAGAGTTGGTGTTGTACGTGTTATTCCTGCAATCATTGCCAAACAGTTTAATATCCAATGGCATGGCTAATTGGTTAATTAAAAGGCTAATTTGAATATTAGCATACAACATACTGAATGCAGCCTGAAGCTGATAAAATAATGAGTCAAAATCACAGATGATATTATTTCTGATAATATATACTTGTCCTTCTTGACCTGAGTGCGGCCTTTGATACTATCTCGCACAAGATACCCCTGGCCAGGTTAGTTTCTATAGGGATTACTGGCACCCCACTGTCCTGGTTTAGATCCTATCTTACCGGTTGCAATCAGCATGTTCAAATTAAAAATTTTAAATCAAGACCATCTACAGTTACTACTGGTGTCCCTCAAGGTTCTGTTTTGGGCCCATTCTTGTTCATCATCCATTTACTTCCCCTTGGCTATATTCTCAGGAAATATGGTATCCATTTTCACTGCTATGCCGATGACACCCAGCTCTACCTGTCTTCTAAACCCTCTAGCTCTTTTCCTCCACCTTCCTTGACTAGATGTTTAGCTGAAATTAAAGACTGGCTTTCAGCCAACTTTCTAAAACTCAACAGTGATAAAACTGAGGTCTTACTTATTGGTAAAAAATCTACTTTGACTAAATATGATTGTTTTACAGTGGATATCGATGATAATGCAATTTGTCCTTCTCAGCAGGTTAGGAGTTTGGGTGTCATTCTGGATAGCACACTTTCTTTTGAAGCTCATGTCAATAATATTATGCGTACTACGTATTTTCACCTGCGTAATATTAATCGCCTTCGTCCCTCTCTCACAACGAATAATACTGCAATTCTTATTCATGCACTGGTTACCTCATGTATCGACTATTGTAATGCTCTCCTTACTGGTCTTCCTTCTAAACTTCTTTATAAACTCCAATTGGTTCAGGACTCCGCAGCTCATGCTCTTTCTAGGACTTCATCAATAGAGCACATTTCTCCAGTTCTCCAACGTTTACACTGGCTCCCAGTAAAGTATCGCATTGATTTAAAAATTTTGCTTCTCACATTGAAGGCACTTCACAACCTTGCTCCACCGTATCTTACTGACCTTCTCCACATCTATACTCCTCCTTGCACTCTCAGATCTTCACACTCGATCTCTCTTGTGTCGCCGCGTATACGTTTAAGCACCATGGGAGCAAGAACTTTTAGTTTTGCGGCCCCTCGCCTATGGAACTCTCTTCCCCCCAATACGGAACAGTGACAGCCTTCAAACTTTTAAATCTCATCTTAAGACTTATTTTTACCCAGGCTTTCTTATGACTTGCTCTATTAATTGCTCTTATTATTGCTCTTCTAATCCTTTATTGTATTTATGATGTATGCAGTTGTGCTGTTGAATTTTGTAATGCTGGCAGGACTTGTTTATTTATTGTTACTGTTTTTACTAGTTTGCTTGCTGTAAGGTGACCTTGGGTGTTTAGAAAGGCGGCATTAATTAAAATGAATTATTATTATTTCTAGCTCATTCATCACACTAAAAATAAGTCACATTGCATTGTGGGATACAGCCGTGTGCTCTGTTGTATTTGCATATTCTGTGAATTCAGAAAATTGGCATTATGTGCATTGTATCCATACACCACAGAAATAGTAGTATGGTGGTGTGATATTCCAAACAAGCAACTGTTATTGGAATAAAACAGATCTATGGAAATATTTGGTCAAGATTGCACTAATTTTGTTTGTATTCTTAAGTTCTTCTTAGCACATATAGTTAAAATGATCTTTACGATCCCTGTAAGCACAATGAGATATTAGACAAAGTTCTTTAATTTAATTGTTTTCTTTCATTTCCCAGACTTTGCTGCATTAACTGGCTCATTGAAACGACCAGGTTTATCTCATCCAGTGGTTGGCAGCATCCGTGGACTCCATAGTCCAATCTCCTCAGGTTTGAATCCTGAGGGCATCTATGTTTGAGGACCATAAATCACTTCAGTAGATGCAAATCAGATTTTTAAAAACCTCTCCATATATGTTTTAGACTGAATTAATTTTATTTGCTGCTACTTCAAGCTAAACTGATTTGCTCAGCATGAAGGAGAACTTCAGTGGGATCTCTCAAGCAGTTTTTCAATTCCCTATCATAATACTTGATCTTGATCACAAAGAGCTGCATACCATTTCAAATACAAACAATAAGTATGCTGATTTTCATATGTATAGTATCATTGTAGTGTCTACTGTTAGAAAGTGGTACCTGTAACCTTGTCACATACAAAAAAACTAGTAGATGAAGGATGAATTACTTTGGAAGCATAAATATATTTTTGTATTCTTATTTTAGTCTCTAAAAACATTTGTATGAATGTGCAACTTTCAATCTGACCTGTGATATTTAGTTTTTTTTTTTATACTCTGGTTCGTTTATCCGTTTGTATAAGTGTTTTACTATGTTGAGCCAAAGACAATCACCTTTTTCAGTTGCAATATGTTACTGCATGACTGCAAAATATTGTACTCCTTGTAGGGCTGCACGATTATGACAAAAATCATAATTGTCGATTCCCATAAAATTGTAATTGCGGTTATTAATTACGATTATCACAATTTACATTGAATGATGTTTATACCATTGTTTGAAGCAACTGCATGCCATAAATTTATATGAAAATAAACAAGCTGAAAATACTGTAACTGAAAAACTTTTATTGCTTTTCTATAGTATTAAGCCTCAAATGTCAACTATACATTGATTTGGTTTCTTTTTTAAATATAAAAAAAAAGGAAAAAATATGCATGGTTTTATAATGCGATACTAAAACTAAAATTAAAACAATGGAAAAACCCTTAAGATAACCTGTAGAAAGAAAAAAAACATCTTAAGCACGCAGAATAATATTAGTGGACTTTGAACGATTAATTGCTGCTTTGAACGATTACGTAATTGTGGCATCCGTAATTGTAATCGCGATTAGGAATTCGATTAATTGTGCAGTTCTAACTCCTTGCTTTAATTTAGCTAATGTCATTAATGTTGAACTATGCATAAATTTAATTGATACTGACAAATACAAAAGTATTATTGCTTGAAAATGTACTTTTACTCTTAAAGGAATAGTTCGCCCAACAATTAAATTGGGAGATATTAAAAAAAAAAAAAATGTCTCGTTGTTTTGAGAGAATTTTTTATTTTGGGTGAACTATACCTTTGATGTTATTATATGTATTATATCATTTGTTTGTTTCAATATATGAAATCACAGCTATTTAACTGAAAGTAGTGCCTTACTGAAATTCAGCCCAATCCATGTTTGTATCAACTTTAATGATGGTGCAAGCACGTTGACTCTGTGAATTAAATTTCAGTATTTTCAGTGTATATATAAAATATATTATGTTTTGTGCTCAGACTTTGCTCATATTGCGTCTTGTACATATGGCTCCATTTAATTTCAGTAGATTTTGGGGGGTATTTAAACTTGTTTTTAATTGATTCCTACAGTCAGCATGTACTATCATTTTTGTAAACATAGAAAAGCTTCATATAAACCCCTAGAAAGTCTATATGTAGTACTGTGAATCACTATTAAACCCAAATCACCCCATATGAATGATTCTTATTTTACAACATAACCCTTGTGAATAATACATACAAAGTCAAGTGTAACAGCAAAAGAACAGAATTGGCACCTGATTAAAATGAAAGGTAAGCCACACTTGTGTGTCCAGCTTAATGCTACTAACTCTCATGAATGGGCGGACAAGTCCCTCATGTTGTGAAGGCCACCATCCCAGAGTATGTGGGGTTTAACTACAGCCAGTATGGGGCTGCAGGGAGCTCCAGCCAGACAAAATGCCTCATCCACATCCAGACCCCATTCCCGAAGAGTTTTCAGGGCAGACGCACAGACGTTTGTAGAGCCCCATGCTGTTAAAACACAAATGCAGAGAGGGCTGTTCTCTTGCCCAAACTTCCTCCTCATCTGACCGATCAGAACGGCAAACTCCTTCATGCAGATCTGGTAACATAAGACTAGGTTAATTTGACAAATGAAGCTTAAAGGGGTCATATGATGCTGCTAAAAAGAACATTATTTTGTGTATTTGGTGTAATGAAATGTGTTTATGCGGTTTAAGGGGGGGCGTGTTTGAACGAGTCGTTTTAGGTAGGCGTGGTACTAGGGCAAAAAAAGATAGTTGGATAAATACAAATATTTCATAATGTACCTTTGCTTCTTTGAAGGTCTCTATTTGGGTTTCACTGAATCCAAAATCTGAAAGACTATCAAGTGAATCCTCAGAGAAACCGATAACATCACCTGAGAAAATGACCTTGAGCTGATTGAGAACGTGATCATCAGACTGTTCGTACAGCACAGCAGCTGGAATTCCTAAATGCAACAACATGGGCAAGTTTAATATTTATTAATGTAAGTATTTGATAAAAAAAAAAAATCATGCATTAAAAATGAATATTACATTAAAATTAATTGTTAAAACTTTGTACCTATATGCAGAACTTCATAGACATCATCCTTGTCAGTAGAGAGGAACAGCTTAACGTTGTTTAACTGAAGAGTATTTATGAGTTCTTCCTTTTTGCAAAAGAAAATTTTGACTATTTCTAGACCTGGTGATAAAAAAAAAACAATGCAATATAAGCACATGATGTAAAAAAAAAATAAGCACAAGAATTGCATAAAACAAATAAAAAAAGTATATACAAAAAAATTAATGCCTTTTTTCAAAGCATTTAAAGCACAAATCCTATATTTGTTTATTATCATTGTGAGACATCTTAGATATTCTTGATAAATTATTATCGAACTATAAAAGTAGCATGGAAAATGTTTTTTTTTAAATACATTTTATATATCACCTGCCATAAAATGGTGATTCTGGCGATTTGGTTAATAAAACAAAGTCAAAACTGTACTTAGAAAAAAAAAAACTAGATTGCAAAATATTAAATACTAAACATTTTAAAACAATTTTAGGCGCAACTCCTTTCACTGACCACTTTGTGAAAAAAAATTAATAAAAAAATTAGTTTTAGTCCCTATTTTTATAATCTTTGTAAGTGCCATATTAAAAATATCAAAGTGAACTTACCATAATACTTTACACTCTCAACGATATTCATTTTGATTTCTTCAGAACACTCCTTTGCAATGAGGATCACTTCAAAAAGCAAAGATTCGGTCTTGTTCTGTTCCACAAGTCTCTCATTCACTATTTGCACAGCCTACATTCACAGCAAGCTTTTGAAAATCATAAAAAAAAACCTACTCAGAAATTGGCCATGTATATAACATTTAATAACTAGACCTTTTCTACCTTAATAAAAGTGACTGCTCTGTCTTTGGGTACTGCATCATCTGTGTTTGTGGACGCAGTCATTCTTGAGACGTGGGACAAAAGGGGTCCAGTGAGGGTAACTGCTATTAGCGTTAAAAAATAAAAATATTTTAAATTTTAAATGTCATGAGGGATTAATAATAGAATGTATTTAACACAATTATCACCTTCAATTTAATTTTCTCATTATTATACCAAATCTGTGTTTCTTAATGTCCTCTCACTACGTCTAAAACAGTGTCTCCACAGGATAAAAATTTTTTAATGATGAAAAAGAGCTTGTTTTATCAAAAGCAACACTTAATATCTCCTATCAAAGCAAGGTTGTTTTTTTTAATGACACATGCATGTTTCATAAGATTTTAAAGTTGCGTCCCCACTTTTTGTCAACACCATCAGACTGTCACGATCTGCTACGGTGCGGGAACACGGAGCAAGGAACGAGGAGACCAAGAGTACAGAAACCAAGGAATTTATTCATCTTCACGGGGAATCACACGTAGCACGAGGAGTAGACATAAACAATACCGGACGCTGGAGCACACACAGGGCACACTATTTATACACACAGGAGGAGGGGATGACGAGACACACCTGGGAGCAATGAAACATCATGGGAAACACCTGGGACAAATTTGTCACCTCCGTCAGTTGAATATTTTGATAATATTTCCTTATGATATTTTATATTTGTTGTGGAATTGTTGGTCACATGTGAAAGTGTAATCTGTCTGCTAACACGAGAATGTGTTTTGAAATGTTAAAAACATCTTGAATGCTGTTAAAGATAAAGCTGAAATTATATTACAGTCCAAGCTAAAAAAGCACATTTTGTTAAAAAAGGAGAAAAGTTGGGAGGTTGTATCAAAGCATAGCTCAGTAGCTTAGAACATATAAGATACATACATGTAGTTTCATTTGTCTGAGTACAAGGTTTTATTTTTTCAATGTTGCACCCTGTTTTGTCCCACTTCTCAAGAATGCCTGGACGCTGAGATCGAGTCCAAGTCAAACAGGTCATTATACTGCAGCGCAATCATAAGAGGACCTGTGTGATTCTGAATAAACAGATGAGATGCAGTTATAAATGAGCGTAAATCGCACGTCATTAAGTTTCGTTAGTTACTGGAGAGTTGTTCACAAGCCGACAGTGTAACTTTGTAACTTTTGACTTCACCTTTTCATCTTCCATACTCTTCAAAATATTCGTCCTTTACCTGCCTAAACAGACGCGGAAGTGAAGAAAACGTGGCGACCGGTTACTTCAACGAACACAGACCAAACCTGCGCGTAGTTGTGCACCATATGGACACTCCTAAAAACATATGATGTAATAAAATAATGAAATGTGAGTAACGTTACCTATATACTTCCCGCCTGCTTCACGCTGCATTGTGCACACTACAGTCCTGCTGTCATTCACTTTCATTGTAATCCGCCGCCACCCTGCGCTCTGGAGCAGATCTGCTGGTGTAGTTTGTGTTTTTATTAAAGGGGTCATATGATGCGATTTCAATTTTTCCTTTCTCGTTGGAGTGTTACAAGCTCTTGGTGCATAAAGAAGATCTGTAAAGTTGCAAAGACTAAAGTCTCAAATCCAAAGAGATATTCTTTATAAAAGTTAAGAGTCAACCACGACTACCTAAAACGGCTCGTTCTAACACGCCCCCACATACCTACGTCACGATGTGGAAAGATTTGCATAACGCCGCCCAAATGTTCATGCAAAGAAAGAAGGCGTAACTTTTATTCTCGCTGTAGTATTGTTGCTGCCACCGCCGCCATGTCGTGAAGGCGCTGTGTTTCGTTGTGAAAGCGAAACTACTTTGGTTGGCCTTCCAAAACAGGACGATATCTGCTTCGTCATGCCTGAAGCTGATCCGTGCTGGTCGCTGAGGAAATACATCAACTTCACGCTGTGGATCGCCGGATTGGCTTTCACCGTGAACGAAGCGCAGTCCAGCCCGGGGTCATCACATGTGGTTGCCACAAGGACGTAACATTTCCGTCACACGCTTGAGGAATTCGGCCAATCACAACCACTGGACAGCTGGCCAGTCAGAGCACACCTCGCTTTTTCAGACTGATGAGCTTTGTAAAAATCGATGCGTTTCAGAAAGGCGGGGCATAGAGGAGAAACAATAATGTACAGTATGTGGAAAATAATGTGTTTTTTTAACCTTAAACCGCATAAACACATTTCATTACACCAAATACACAAAATAATGTTCTTTTTAGCAGCATCATATGACCCCTTTAAAATATCCATTTCCAAAATCTGTGTCTTTAACTGCACATTGTCATATGAAGAACCATCCAGTAATGGTGCTGATGAATCGTAACTCGCTTCATTTCGAGATGGATGTCACAAAAAATTACTTGCAGTTCAGCAGTGTTGATTCAGTAACCAGTCTGATGAATTATTATTCACTGGAGAATTTCACTTTTGACTACACTTTATTGCTGTGCATGGTTTTGATTCACTAAAACGAACCAGCTCATAACCCAAATAACACACGTACGTCTGTTAAAGATCGCTTCATCTGGAAAACTTCTGCTGTGTACAAACATCTGATAGATGTCTCTAAGATGTCACTTTTACATACATTTTCTAAATGTCTATTTTACATCTGATAGGAAACATGCTTTAGGCTAGACGTATTGCAGATGAGCAAACACTCTAGTCAAGTCAAGTCAAGTCACCTTTAGGATATTTGTATAGTGCTTTATACAATACTGAAAATAGTTTGTCAGTAATGCAAGAGTCATTTTTCCAGCTAAAGTCAGTTCATTGATGATTCAGTGATGTCATCATCCAGTTCAGCTCTTTTCCAATAGTGTTTGTGCAATCAGTCAAGCGTCAGACCTCTAAAAAAAACATGTCTTGGAGATGTAAATGCAGACGTCAAATAGACGTACCATCTCAGTGGCTTATGACTTCTTTAAAGTAGTTATTTGCTGATAATTTGTTCTTCCATTCCAGTGTGCTTGTAAAGCAGGATCATTGAATGGGTCAGTGAGTTGACCTCAAGAACTGGACCAGTCCGATTCGTGAACAAATCATTCAAGCAAGCTTGTAAACTGAACTGACTCATTCGATTCATTCACAAACCAGATATGGGAATTTCTCGCATGAGTAAATTTCTGTGTTCCTAGTCCAGGTGTTCCCTACCACATTCCTATTCATTAAAAAGTGTTATCGTCATCATGCGCAGCAGTCACAAGTCACATTTCAAGTCTATTTATTGAAACTAACATTTTATTTTCATTAAACAACATACAATATAATACAATAATTTAAATAATTGATGTCATTTATTCATTCAAATGCATTATTTTAACATAAGGCATATGGTCACATAATAGTAATTACAATTCAAGTCTAATTTCAGGTAAAACCTGAAAATCAAAGAAAGAAAACATCAATATTTTTAGACAATAAACATAACATATTTGATAAAATAGTAATGCGACATGGTAATAATGCTGTGAATAAGTCATTCCCTATACTGCCTTCTCTTAAAAAATAAATTTTTTATCAAGGTAAAACCCAACGAAAGTATTGTTTAGTGTAAAACTGGTTGAAGATTAGCAAACAGGTTGTCGATTCATTAAATGTTCAGCTATTTCCTCACAAAAGCTGTTTATTCAGCGTAGTGAAGCCTCTCCTCCATTGACATCTATTAAAAAAAACCTAATCCCTTTAAAGGGTTTAACCCTCCTGAGTGAAAGCTCCGAAAGGATGAAACTGTTCCCTGGAATGCACTTTTGCATCATTTTGCTGAGCCAATTAACCTGAAATAGTCAAGGGCCCTTAGAAGTGGCCATTTTTGAGCACTTTGGTTTGGAACGACTGTTGATTGTTCTCACACCGTGCTTTTTGGAGGCAGATCTATCCCGCTTGGAACACATGACTGTTATGCCCACAGCATAAATCCAGGAACGGGAGGTAACAAGTAAAAAAACAATCACTTTTGGGTGAACTATTTGTTTAATTTAATATGGAGATAAACAGCGAAATAACAATAGTTATTTAATTACTCACCCTTATAGTTGGAATATATAAAATGTTCTACATTACTGAACAAGGATTTAAACAAATAAATGACGTTAGACATTAAAATGATAAATAAATACATTTTCTTCAAGAGGACTTTCCACAGTATCAGGTTACCATTAATATTTAAACAGTAGTGTGGCAAGACTGGTTTCTGTTTGTATGTTTTCACTGCTCATCACAGCAGAACATACAGTATTTCAAGAGCAAGGAAGCTGTTCATGCATTGACTTCTATCAGCACTTAATCAACTGTGATATTTAGCTCTTCCTTAAGAATGTATTTGAATATCTTAAATCTGACTGTTTGTGTTTCTTCCTCCAGACCAGTTGAGTTTCACATGAGGTGTTAACCTAGTCCTGTAAAGGCATATGCACAGGCAGTTTTGTGTATTATTGAGGTGTGGCAGGTGCCGAACATTTCTTTCTATATTGAAAGAACACTTTGAGGAGAGCTGCCTAGTCTTTGTTTCCAACTACTTTTGGATTCCAGCACAAGACAATGACTTGACTGTTTAATACTGCAGAACTGGACAAGACAACAGCTGGAACTGGGAGTGGAGGGTAAAAAAAAGGCAAGTTGAGTTATTGTGTATTTTAATTCCCTTTCTAGACAGGTTTCAGCTGCATCCAACAAGTTCTAGTTAAGTGTTGAGTATAGTGCTGTGACTCTGTACATAAAAAATACATGTTGGGAGTATTTGTTATATTGGATGACATTTAGCAAAATTAACAAGATATAATGTTAATGGGAGCATATCTGATACTGGGCTGGCAAAAAGTGGACATACAGTCAAATCAAAAATTATTCAGACACCAGATATAATTGTTGATATTTTTTTTTACTAGTGGGTGCAGGACACTATAGTTCATTTATATAAGTGAGGTTAGCAAAATAAAGTAAACTGACATATTATACCCAAAAAATCTTCATACAGTGGACTATGAATAAAACATTTGGGACCAAAAATTATTCATTCACTTTGACCTGACCATGTTTTGCTTAAGTGTTATCTGACATTATCAAGATTAATTTGTTCTGACACAGTTTAACTCCGAGTTCTTGTTGTATTTTATTACCATTTTCTAAATTATAGCGAATAAACTATTATAATGTGTGAAATGTTGAAGATGTCTTAATAAATTTTGGTTTGACTGTATAATATTGTGGGTTTGACTGCTACAGAGTCAGAAGTCCTTTCTGTGTGGAGTTTGCATGTTCTCCCTGTATATTGCAGTGTATTTCCTGAATAAGCAGTGATTGTGAATGTGTGTGTGTCCTGGTATTCCCTACATTATGGGAACCGAATGTCCCCACAAGTACATTTTGAACTTGTGGGGACATTGTTTTAGTCACCATGAGGAAACAAGCTTATAAATCATACAATTCAGTTTTTTTTTTTTTAAATCTAAAATAGGAGAAAGTTTTGTGTGAGGGGTAGGGTTGAGGTAAGGGGACAGAAAATACAGTTTGTACAGTAGAAAAGCCATTACTTCTATGGAATGTCCCCATAAAACATGGAAACCAGTGTGTGTGTGTGTGTGTGTGTGTGTACCTGTTTTTCTATTCTGGTGGGGACTTAAACCTGAATACACACAGACTCATGGGGACTCGTGTCACGGTGGGGACCTAAATTGAGGTCCCCACGGGTAAACAAGCTAATAAATCACACAGAATGAAGTTTTTTGAAAATCTAAAAATGCAGAAAGTTTCCTGTAAGGGGTAGGTTTAGGTGTAGGGTTGGTGTAGGGCAATAGAATATACGGTCTGTACAGTAGAAAAACCATTACGCCTATGGAGAGTCCCCACAAGGATAACAAACCAGACGTGTGTGTGTGTGTGTGTGTGTGTGTGTGTGTGTGTGTGTGTGTGTTTTTAATGCTGACAGAGTCCCCACAAGGATAACAAACCAGACATTGTGTGTGTGTGTGTGTGTGTGTGTGTGAGAGAGAGAGCTCTGTGATGGACTGGCCATCCTTCCAGGGTGTTTCCATGCCTATGGCCTGAAACACTGAGATAGGCTCCAGCATCCCCGTAAATCTGCACTTCTTTCCCTTTGTCTTTTTGTGATTTTTAATGTTGTACTCACTATCTCTACCTCTCTTTCTCTCTTCATCTTTATCCCTCTCTTTCTT